TCCGTAAAAGGACACTGCCACGGCCTCAGGAACTTGTTGGAGCTGCAGGAAAGGTCTGCCGCGGCCTGAGCTGGGAGCTGCAGGGGAGGGTTTGAGGAGTTTTGAAGGCTGGCAAACGGCAGCCTTGAACCTCCTTAAAAGGACACTACCACGGCCTCAGGGACTTGTTGGAGCTGCAGGAAAGGTCTGCCGCGGCCTGAGTGGCGCCTAGGGGACAGTTTGGGGAGTTTTGAGGGCTGGCAAACGGCAGCCTTGAACGTCCATAAAAAGACGCTGCCACGGCCGCAGGGACTTGTTAGAGCTGCAGGAAAGGTCCGCCGCGGCCTGAGTGGCGCCTGGGAGCTGCAGGGGAGGGTTTGGGGAGTTTTGAAGGCTGGCAAACGGCAGCCTTGAACCTCCTTAAAGGACACTGCCACGGCCTCAGGGACTTGTTGGAGCTGCAGGAAAGGTCTGCCGCGGCCTGAGTGGCGCCTGGGAGCTGCAGGGGAGGGTTTGGGGAGTTTTGAGGGCTGGCAAACGGCAGCCTTGAACGTCCATAAAAAGACGCTGCCACGGACTCAGGGACTTGTTAGAGCTGCAGGTCTGCCGCGGCCTGAGTGGCGCCTGGGAGCTGCAGGGGAGGGTTTGGGGAGTTAGGCGAGTTTCGAAGGCTGGCATAAAAGGACACTGCCACGGCCTCAGGGACTTGTTGGAGCTGCAGGAAAGGTCTGCCGCGGCCTGAGTGGCGCCTGGGAGCTGCAGGGGAGGGTTTGGGGAGTTTTGAGGGCTGGCAAACGGCAGGCAAACGGCAGCCTGGGACCTCCGTAAAAGGACACTGCCACGGCCTCAGGAACTTGTTGGAGCTGCAGGAAAGGTCCGCCGCGGCCTGAGTGGCGCCTGGGAGCTGCAGGGGAGGGTTTGGGGAGTTTTGAAGGCTGGCAAACGGCAGCCTTGAACCTCCTTAAAAGGACACTGCCACGGCCCCAGGGACTTGTTGGAGCTGCAGGAAAGGTCTGCCGCGGCCTGAGTGGCGCCTGGGAGCTGCAGGGAAGGGTTTGGGGAGTTTTGAGGGCTGGCAAACGGCAGCCTTGAACGTCCATAAAAAGACGCTGCCACGGCCTCAGGGACTTGTTGGAGCTGCAGGAAAGGTATGCCGCGGCCTGAGTGGCGCCTGGGAGCTGCAAGGAAGGGTTTGGGGAGTTTTGAGGGCTGGCAAACGGCAGCCTTGAACGTCCATAAAAAGACGCTGCCACGGCCTCAGGGACTTGTTAGAGCTGCAGGAAAGGTCTGCCGCGGCCTGAGTGGCGCCTGGGAGCTGCAGAGAGGGTTTGGGGAGTTTTGCGGGCTGGCGAACGGCAGCCTTGAACGTCCATAAAAAGACGCTGCCAGGGCCTCAGGGACTTGTTGGAGCTGCAGGAAAGGTCTGCCGCGGCCTGAGTGGCGCCTGGGAGCTGCAGGGGAGGGTTTGAGAGTTTTGGCGAGTTTTGAAGGCTGGCGAACGGGAGCCTTGAACCTCCTTAAAAGGACACTGCCACGGCTTCAGAGACTTGTTGGAGCTGCAGGAAAGGTCTGCCGCGGCGTGAGTGGCGCCTGGGAGCTGCAGGGGAGGGTTTGGGGAGTTTTGGCGAGTTTTGAAGGCTGGCAAACCAGCCTTGAACCTCCTTAAAAGGACACTGCCACGGCTTCAGGGACTTGTTGGAGCTGCAGGAAAGGTCTGCCGCGGCCTGAGTGGCGCCTGGGAGCTGCAGGGGAGGGTTTGAGAGTTTTGGCGAGTTTTGAAGGCTGGCGAACGGGAGCCTTGAACCTCCTTAAAAGGACACTGCCATGGCTTCAGAGACTTGTTGGAGCTGCAGGAAAGGTCTGCCGCGGCGTGAGTGGCGCCTGGGAGCTGCAGGGGAGGGTTTGGGGAGTTTTGAAGGCTGGCAAACCAGCCTTGAACCTCCTTAAAAGGACACTGCCACGGCCTCAGGGACTTGTTGGAGCTGCAGGAAAGGTCTGCTGCGGCCTGAGTGGCGCGTGGGAGCTGCAGGGGAGGGTTTGGGGAGTTTTGAGGGCTGGCAAACGGCAGCCTTGAACCTCCTTAAAAGGACACTGCCACGGGGTCAGGGACTTGTTGGAGCTGCAGGAAAGGTCTGCCGCGGCCTGAGTGGCGCCTGGGAGCTGCAGGGGAGGGTTTGGCGAGTTTTGCGGGCTGGCAAACGGCAGCCTTGAACGTCCTTAAAAGGACACTGCCACGGCCTCAGGGACTTGTTGGAGCTGCAGGAAAGGTCTGCCGCGGCCTGAGTGGCGCCTGGGAGCTGCAGGGGAGGGTTTGGGGAGTTTTGAGGGCTGGCAAACGGCAGTCTTGAACGTCCATAAAAAGACGCTGCCACGGCCTCAGGGACTTGTTAGAGCTGCAGGAAAGGTCTGCCGCGGCCTGAGTGGCGCCTGGGAGCTGCAGGGGAGGGTTTGGGGAGTTTTGAGGGCTGGCAAACGGCAGCCTTGAACGTCCATAAAAAGACGCTGGCCTCAGGGACTTGTTAGAGCTGCAGGAAAGGTCTGCCGCGGCCTGAGTGGCGCCTGGGAGCTGCAGGGGAGGGTTTCGCGAGTTAGGCGAGTTTGGAACGTCCATAAAAAGACGCTGCCACGGCCTCAGGCACTTGTGAGAGCTGCAGGAAAGGTCTGCCGCGGCCTGAGTGGCGCCTGGGAGCTGCAGGGGAGGGCTTGGGTAGTTTTGGCGAGTTTTGAAGGCTGGCAAACGGCAGCCTTGAACCTCTTTACTGCCACGGCCTCAGGGACTTGTTGGAACTGCACAGGGTCTGCCGCGGCCTGTTGCGTTTTGGAACGCCGTAGAAACAGAGATTGCTGTGGCATGAGTGGCTCGTGGGAAGTGCACAGAAATTGCTGTGGCCTGAGTGGCTCCTGGGCGGTGAACAGAGGGTGCTATGGCCTGGGTGGCTCGTGGAAAGTGCAAAGCATTGGGAACGAAAAAAAGTTCCACACCTGCGGTGGTCCCAGGCGCCGCCCCTGCCTTGGCTAAGGCAGGGGTCGGCGGATTAAGATATTATGAATGAATCATTTCTGCTTTCCAGTTTCCTATTCCATCCCACCAGTATTCAATCATACGGATTTGTGATAAGCGAGATTTGCCTTGCCTGTATCGTTTAGTTCATCCATCGCGATGGATAATATTGTTAGGTTGTCCGCGTGGAATTGCCAGTTTTCATTGAGTTCTCTACCCCGGCTCAATGATGAAGTCTTTTGCAAGTATGTTGTTATACAATCCTCTAACGATGTCAAGTCTTTTGAACAAATCAATGTTATTGCATCTCCAACCTGATTGAGCACTTAACCTCTCTAAAACTTTGTTCCGGAATTTATTATCATCAGTTGAAGGGTCTGTGTATGGCCTCGTTGTTTACCTTCGCCTCTTTGTTTCTTCATCTTCTATGCTTGAATGCCCGTTGCCTCAGATGTCATCATCAGTACTGTGTTGCGCTGACTTTCCATGTTGATAAGATATTCTTTCCGACTGGAAAGGAATGGCGTGGTTTTTGAATTCTTTTAGGGAGCATTTATGACCGCACATGGGATGATATAGGTGGGCATCGAGAACTGCAAATTGCAACAGTTTTTATGTGAATTCGGTGGAATATGCGCAGGCATTTTCGGCTCCAGTATGAGTCTATAGAGGTCCAACAGTTTCACAAAACAGTTGACCCGCGACCCCGCGATGATTCGGCCCGTGTTGTTGTTGTTGCTCATGCTTTTGGAGCTCCGCGGTGAAAGCAGCGAATCCACAGGCATGACGAACAATTATACCACCACGGAATGCGAAGGACTTTGCATTTCCAAATGCAAAGAGGTTGGGGGCAGTGGTCGGCATCTCATGCCCTATCTTGTGAAACAATGCCATGAGGTTGTAAGAGATTACTGCCGTGACTGGTTTGGATATGACTGGGCTAAATTTTGCGTTTGTCCTCTGGATCTTCATAGGGTTTGCTGCTGTCACGTACCACGTTAGCCGGCGTCATCAACCGGATTGGTTAGACATGCATCGCTCTAAATTATTTTATAGCTTGGTTGGGTTGGAGGCTCACAGTTGTGGCTTCATGTCAGAGAACACCTGCCAAACTGAGCAGACGACATGTGAACGTGTGCAAAAAGGTGGTGTTCGTAGATGTTCGCAGATGCTTTGCATAATCTTTGCATGAACCATTTGCTAATTATTTAGCCAGTACATGACTTCACGTATTTCATGCAACAAGGAGTCATGACAATCAACATGTGAGATTAATCGTGCCGGAATTGGAGGCAAAAGACAGGTGAGAAGCATTCATGGAAAGAACGATTATTTTCTTTGATTAGAGGGGTTTTCCTTATTTGAATAGTAGTGTAAGATTTGTTAAGAAATATAGCTACAAATCCTATGTTTATAAACAGAGTTATATCTAGGTAGGCGTAATCCCTGCCTGGTCAGACAATCGCCCTCCAGACAATCGCCCTCCAGACACAGATCAGAGGCTATAATAGATCTCACCCTTACACCTGGTCAGGTAAACAGCCTCCAGATAGAGCTTCGAAACTATTCTACCCCTATCTATACAACTACGATATAAATACCCTATAAATATTAGGATTTTAACTATTTTCTCTAAATCTTACATTACTGTTTAATGACTATCTGCTACTCGTAGGCCAATAAAGCATGAAGGAGTTCCTGAACCAGTTAGTCGATGGTTTATCCCATTATAATCCCATGATTTACAGTGTTTCATAGTTGCCTATAATGATTATAGTTATACCCATAGTCAGTTATACCCATCATATAGTTATACCCATAGTTATACCCATCGTAAAATTCTTCAGTGTTTCATAGGAATCCCAAAGGTTCGCTTGCAGGATTGCATTTCGCAACCGTCCGGGATCATGGTGGTTATATCCCAATTTGGCTTAATAGTAATATTAAACACCATTAACCACTATTGATCACTATTAATCATTATAAATTACCCTTAATCACAATTAATCACTATACTATAATATAATAAATCACTATATTATAAATCACTATGAACCACTATTAAAATCACTATTAACCACCATGAAGTCTTGCCATTTTCAGCGGGAGGTGATCATGTACACCGACAAGGCCAAAAAGCTGGCAGATACTGCGGTGCAGGAACAGGCCGCGGTAGCTACGCTGTGTTTTGGTGAAAAAGATGGTGGAGATAAAGCTGTAAGAGATGGTGTAATTACAATTTGATATCACTTATCACTTTTATATTTTTTTTTGTACATAGATGTTTACATTCTTTGGTATTTCTTTGGTATTTCTTTGTTTCTCTTGTTTCTCTCTCTCTCTCTCTCTCGTGCTCTCTCTATCTATCTGTCTATCTGTCTATCTATACAAATATATGTACTGTATGTATACTGTAATTACTATATCAATATATAAATATAATATGATAATATGTATATATATATACATAGTCATCCTGGAGTAGATAGAATATGGACCTTTTTCAAAGAAATCATCAGTAAATTGGGAATGTCTTTGAACATTCCACATTCTTTCTACTTCAGGAAGCTTATTCAAGAACATACTTGGTGGCTCATCCCACTTAGTAAGTGGGTTATAACCCCAGTTATAAATGGGATAAGTAGGGTTAATCCACTTACAACTGGGGTTATAACCCACTTACTAAGTGGGATGAGCCACCAAGTAGATAGCGCTTGGGAGCACCTTCTGAAACCGGACCAACGTTCCCAAATCATGGCGAATTCCCGTGGCGGATTCACCACTGGTACTGGTTCTTTCTGTATGGGAAAAATGATGGGATTTATAGTGATTTTATGGTGATTTAGTGGTGATTTTATGGTGATTTAGTGGTTAATTTATGGTGATTTATGGGATTACTTCGATGCAACCGGATTTTATGGTGATTTTTTTGGACAATGAACCAGCAACCATAGGGATATTCGTCGGAAATACCATCTAGTCATATAACAGTTTGCTACGGAAACTTGCCCCTTTAGAGATTATTTACCGATTAAAGGTGGTGTTTTTCCAAAGCTATGTTACGATTGGGGATATATTTGCTGGCCCATGCCAGTTGGTAATCGTAGCCCCAGTCATAAGTAGTACAATGTGGGGCCCCCCAGTTATAAGTTGGTTTATAAGCCCCAGTAACTCTAGTTATAAGTACCATAAACCATAGTTATTGGAGTTATAAACCAACTTAGCTATCGTTCGGGGCCCCCACTTTGAAGGGGAAACAACCACTTATGAGTGAGGCGATTCTAGCCACTTACGATGCCAGGGATGTGGCTCCAAGTAGCCATGTAGATATCATGAAATTTTCCATGGGGATATACGAAAAAGGACATAGCAATTCGCAACAATATGGTAGTTGGGCATGTGTGAAAATGGATGATTGATACACATACTGGTTGGTGGTTTGGAACAAGCCCGGGCTCAAACACCTGCCAGGGGTGGGCTTGCTCTTACTGAGGTTGAGTGGTTTGCCCCCCCTGGTACTTGTCTTTCATCGGTTTCGTGCCATGTCATCCTGGGATGTTCCATGCGCTGACCCAAACCTGTTCAATCCTGACTGGTGCTCTGTTGCTACGGGCTCTACTGTGTCAGTGGTGGTCGACTGTGAACTGCTTACCTCTGAGTTGCTCACGGGTGTCTTGGTGCCTGGGAACCGACCTGTCCGTGTGGTGGGTGCTGTGGACTTTCAGGTTCGAGGCTGTCGTCGTCTTTCCCTGTTTGATGTCCTGGTTGGCTCTGTTGGGACCACTGTGGATTTACTGATTACAGACGAGTCCGTGATCATTGCCCACGGAATTCGGCAGTCTGGTGACCTTCTTCGGGTTGTTGAACTGTGGTCTGGCTTGGCCTGTTCTTCCCGTGGTTTGGAATCGGTTGGTTTCCGCCATGCCTGTAGTGTTGAATGGAGACAGCCTCTAGCCCAGCTTCACATGACATGTAACCCAGGTGTGCCGATCGTCCATGGTGACATCAACAACCCTTCGTGTCTCAAAGAAGTTATGAAGAGAGTTGAGCCGCCGTTCACTCTGATGTGTGGGATGTCATGTCAACCATATAGCTCAGGGGGCACACAAGCTGGTTCATGTGATGAGAGGTCGAACACTGTCCCAGCTACTGTCCGTGCATGTCACCTGTTTCAGTGTCCACTGCTGATCATTGAATGCGTTACCCAAGCCAGGTCCAACCAATTTGTCACGTCCTGTCTGAAGCAGCTTGAGGTCCAATTAGGTTACCACCTGACTGAAGTCACCCTGAAGTTGGAAGATGTCTGGTGTGCCAGGCGATACAGGTGGTGGTTGATTGCCTCACATCCGTCCATCGGCCCTGTGCAGATTCCGGAATGGCCAAGGAGCCTCAATCTGAACATCCGTGATGTCATGCCGTTTGCCCGACAGTGGCCAGCTGATGTGTTGCAGGAGCTGTTGCTCACTGACCATGAAGCTGCCCAATTCACGCTTGATGGTTCCAGTTTGAGGAAGTACCAGGTCAAGATGGATGGAAAACTCCCAACATGTTTGCACTCGTGGGGCAGTCAGGCATCCAGTTGCCCGTGCGGTTGCAGGACGTCAGGCTTTAGTGACCAGCTAGTCCGACAAAGGGGTATCTATGCTCAGCTTGTCCAAGTGATGAACTCTGAAGGTCCAGTGCAGTATAGACATTTTCACCCAAGTGAACTTGCCCTCCTGAACGGAATGCCACCGCCAGAAAGTTGGATGACTCCAGAACATCCACCACTGAGGCTTTGTCTGTGCGCTGTTGGCCAATTGGCTTCCCCATTGCAGTCGGTCTGGGTAGGTGCATGCATTGTGAAGCATCTGAATGCAATTTGGAATTGTGCTCAAGTGAGTCCGTCAGACCTCCTTCACGGATTTCGGTCACAACTTTTTCACATTGCCCAAGACATGTTTCCCAATGTTCCAGTTGCTCCAGTTGGACCCATGTGGACGTGTTTGAAATACCCAGATGGCACACAGGTCCATGTCCAAGTTCAGTCCCAGACCACTCTTGTTGAGCTGTTCCAAGCCGAGCTTGCCTTGACCCAGGACGCCCCTGATGGGGAATGGTTCGATGATGTCACTGGTGCCCCTTTGGACTTCAATGCTCAGGTGGGAGGTAGATGTGTCCGGGTTGTGGTCAAGTCAGCCACGGCCGAAAGGTCTGCCAGTTCATACTCCTTGACCCATGCACAGTTGGCACAAATCCCTCTGGATTTTGGGGATGACCCATCCGAAAATGAAGTTGAACCTGAACCAATGCCAAGTGATGTTGATGCCACAATGTGTCCCGAGCCATCGACTGCTGCGGTTCCCATTCATGAAGTTGCCCAGCCGTCTTGCCACAGCGATGTCAGTGCTAATCCAGGCCATGTCATGGACACGTTGTTTGGACTTCGTCGGTTGTTTGGGATCCAACTTGCCGCTATCTTGCCACCTCTTGTGTCCAACCAACAGGTGTGTGACAACTATCGTCAGGTCACTGTCCATGGTCCCTCCCGTCTTGAAGTCCTTGCCAATGAAGGGTGTGCTATGGGTGATGACGAGTTGGTGCTCCATCTTCGTGCTTGCCTGTTGTTGTCTGGCCGTACTGATGTTCAGTTGCTTGACCCCTTGTTGGCATCCAGTTGGCAGAAAGGAGGATCGGTTGACGACGTGCGTGCTTGGGCTAGCCAGTTTTGTGACTTGAAAAGCATTGTCACTGTCGTACATGTCCATGATCATTGGATGCCTGTTGTCTGGACTCTTGGACTTTGCGAGGTACGGGTGTCTATGTGGGAACATGTTGATGCAGACATTGACTGTTTGAGCCCACTGCATGGTCTTGTCAGCCAGGCATTCAATCGCCCCATGTTCAGCCTGGCCTGCACACGCCGATCGTTCAGTCGAGGGTTTTGCGGAGCTGCTGCCATTGCTTTCTTGTCTCACCGCCTTTTGGGTAAAGATCTGCCACAGACTGAAGATGCCCTTGGTGATATGCACCGTGACCTCAAAGAAAGCTTTGCTGCAGCATGTCATGATGTAGTTTCTTTGCCGAAACCATGGTGTTGGGGATTGGGTACCATTGATGTGCAGAGCCTCACGGTGGACTTGTTGAGCGCTCATGGAGTTCCTCCTGCGCAGTGCCAAATGCGTGCCAAGTTGGTTGTTCAAGCCCTTGGGAAGAACGAAGTCCATGCTGCCATTACTGGAACTGCTCCTTGGAGATCCTTGAAAGCCCTTTCCAATCAACAATCGCCGCCCTTGCAGCTTGTGTTGCCTGATGAGTTGAACCAACACAATGCGAAAAAGCCAGCCTCCAAGCCCAAGAAACATGCCAGGAACACACCATTGCCCGCTCGCCCAGCTGAGCTTGACCCAGCCAAACTTGTCATTGAACATGGAGCATTCTGTGTTGGTCAGGATGAACCACTGCCGCAATTGTCCTTTGCCTCAGTTGGCCCACTTGTGAGCGGGGTTGCCTTGACGACGTACTCTGAAGCCAGCCACTTTCTCCAAAATGGAAAGCTGCTCACGGCTCATGGACTTGCCTTGCTTGTGTTGAATCCGCCACAAGACTTTCACACTCAGCTTGATTGGATGACCCTCAGGTTTGCAGCTCGATGCAGTGTCAACCATGAACCCATGTTGGTGTCGGGGATCCTTGTCCAACTTGGTCAGTCTCAGGTTTACCAATACAAGGCGAAAGACATCCCTGCCATCATGTCCGTCGAAGTTGCCTGTGCCAGAGTGTCCGTCTTTCAGGACATGTGGGAAGGTAGTTGGGAAGACTTTGCCAGCCGCCCAGTCAAACATGTGTTAGGTGTCCTTCCTTGCCTGCACACCTGTCGCAATGCCGAAGGTTGCTCTTGCAAGAGCTGGCACCCGCCGAGTGACCAGCGCATTGCTTGATGTGTTCAGACGCCAGTTTTTTACTGATGCCGGCCGGCCCACCAAATGGGAGAAGGCCACCCACTTCTCTGTGCTCATCAGGTATGTGAAGCAGCTTGAGACTCAGGTGCTACGTGCCAGTGGCCTGCATGGGGTTTTCATTGAACCCAAAACAGAGGATGCCCTTCGACCTCATGATGACTTTCAGGTTGTCTGGCTGCCACAGATGGACTTTGCTGCAGTTGCCCATCGAGCCCAGTGTGAAGTCGATTGCCTTGGAGTTGCACGTTCAGGCCGGAGATTTGGACTTCGTGTTCATGTCAAAAACTTTCAGCGGGTCTTCACCAGTGCCAAACCTGATGCAGTGTACCTTGCCCCTGGCAACAGACTGAGCTTCCAATGCGGGCCCTGGCCCTTTGGCTCAGACAGGAAGAACATTGCACATGCCTTGAAGGCCACAGGTTGGGAATGTCGCCCAGTCCAACCCCTTCACCATGTTCCAGGTGGCTTGATGTGGTCGGTCCAAGCAATCGTCGAGCCACCGACAAATGTCCTGTCGTTGCAACATGGCCAGGTAGTTATCACCGGGTCGGATGCCAAACATGCACCAGCTGAGCCAGACACGAAGGTTGTTGGCCAAGCCACAACTGTGGCACTTTGCCGCCCTGCAGATGGAGCTGTTGACCCATGGTTGGCCCAGGATCCTTGGTCCAAAGCAGTTACTCAGACTGCTCCCCAACCTGCCCAACAACCTGCTCCCAATGTTTTGCATGAGTTGGAACAGCGTCTGGAAAAGACCTTGCTTGACAGGTTGCCGGTGTCTGATCGCATGGAAGTTGATGGCCAAGACCAAAGACTTCAGGTCCTTGAGCAGCAGGTTCAGCAGCTTGCTTCACGCCAGACCAGTTTGGAGCACACTGTCCAGGACAACCATCAGCAGAACACAGCACAGGTCCAATCGCTCCAGCAGCAGATGAAGGTGCAGCTTGACATGCAGTCACAGCAGATGCAGTCGATGCTGACTGACCAGATGACAAGGTTGGAAGCCATTTTGGCAAAGAAACCGAGAACCGAATGAAGGTGTGGGGGCCCTGCCAAACCGCCCATGAACAGGGTGTCCCCTGGACGTTTCCGTCCGCTCCGGGCGCTTTTTGCCATGTTTATGTTTCTCTCAGTTTGCCGTGTTGGCGAAGCACGAGTTCCAGGCCCCACTGCCGAACCATGGTCACTTGGGATCTGTAATCCCTCTGGATTACAAGGAAAGCATCATGTTCTTAGCCAGGTGGATGCCACAGTGTTAGCCATCAGCGAGACGCATTTGTTGTCCCTTGCCAAGAAAAACTTGACGTCCAGTTTCAAGTCTTTGCAGTCGAAGTACAAGCATGTTATCACCGGTGCGCCCATGGCACCGAGGACGACCACCAGTGACGCAGGACAGTGGGCTGGTGTGGCCTTCACATCCACTGTCCCTTGCAGAAGTTTGGCCACCCATTGACCGCAAGATGTCTATGAAACAGGCCGGATCCAATTTGGAACGTTCCTCACTTCCGCCTCCTGGGTGACGGGGGCTGTCGTGTATGGGTATCCTGAAGGACGTACTCACCCGTTTGCTCATGAGAAAACAGAACAGCTGCTGGATTTTGCTTTTGATCGGCTCTCCATGCAACCAGGTCCTCGGTTCATGGCAGGTGATTGGAATTTTGCACCTGAGGCTTTGCAGGTTTCCCAGAAGCTGTCTGATGCTGGGTGGGTTGAAGTACAGAACCTCTGGAGATCACAGACAGGTGCAGACATTCAAATGACGTGCAAGCAGGTGTCTCACAAGGACTTTCTTTGGATTTCACCGGAACTTGCATTGGGGTTTCAGCCTATTAGTGTTGATCACCATGTCTTTGCCGATCACTCAGTTTTGATAGCACACTTTGCTGGTGGCCGATCACAAGTTGAAAGGTTTGTCTGGCCGTGCCCAAAGCCCGTTCCTTGGACTCAACTCCCCCCCCTTGAGCAGGCTGTTGACTTTGCGTCCCCATTGGATCCTACCCAGCAATATGCCGACCTGTGGCGATGCAAAGAAGCTCTTGCCAAGGCACACCTTGGTGCTGAATGGATGCCAAGCATGCAAGGACGTGGACAACAGACCCAGCCACGCCGGACTGTTGGCTGCCAAGCACCCCTGAAACAAGGCCGTAGCCAAGATGTTCAACCTGCTTTCTTTGGATTTTCTGCCATCCATGCCAAACAATTCAAACAAGTGCGGAGGTTACAAAACTACTGTCGTTGGGTTGACAACCGCACTAGTCACACTGCCCAGGACATGCTGCATGGTGTTGGTCTTTGGAACTCCATCTTGAAAGCCACTGGATTTTGGCCTTCCTTTCAGTCTTGGTGGCCTGGTAGACAGTATGTTTGTCCGCTTGATCCTGCTCACATTCCTGTGCATTGTCCGTCGTCTGCTGTTGCTCATCAGATCTATGATGCTGTCCTTGCGGAAGTCCGGCTTCTGGAACAACGTCTTGTCCTGTCCAAGCAGAGCTATCGTCATGCCAGGCATGAACGAGACAAGCACTTGATTTTCCGCGAGGTTGCACGAACACCAGCAGCCCCTGTTGAAACCCTTGTGCACCGTGTTGACGCTGTGGTCACACAAGTTGACGTTGATGAATCCGCAGTTGAACTTGACAAGCCTGTGGAATGCCTGCCCTCTGAGCCCTTATGGATTTCCGGGGTAGCTCATGACATCATCCATGCCGACCATGACAAGGTGTGGATTGAAGATGTTAGTGGAATTTCCCCTCAAGACAAAGTTGTCCAGAGCAAGCATGTTGGTGACCTTCGGGCCATCTTCCAGGCCTTCCATGAGCAGTGGAAAATTCGATGGTGTCGGCACGATCAGGTTCCTTTCACCCATTGGGCTGAGTTGATTGCGTTTGCACGGCGGGTCATCAACCCTTCTCCGATTCCCCACCTGTCCGTTGATGCTGCCCTTCTCCAAGCTGAAGGCTTCAAGAAAAAGAAAAAAGCTGCCACTGGATTGGATGGTGTTAGTCGGCTGGACATTGTGCAAGCTGACCACAACACGCTTCACAGCCTAGCCCAGCTCTACCTCAGAGCCGAAGCTGATGGCTCTTGGCCAGCTCAGCTGGTAGCAGGCAAGGTCCAGTCGTTGGCCAAAACTGAGCATGCCTCTACGGTAGGCGAATACAGGCCAATTACTGTTTTTGGATTGCCCTACAGAGCTTGGAGTAGCATCCAATCCCGACACCTCTTGCAGTTTGCAGACACTTGGGTTGATGACAGTGTTTATGGAAATAGAAGGGGTCGACAGGCATCAGATCTCTGGGCTCATCTTCTTCAGCAGATTGAGTCTGCCTATGCCTCATCTGAAGCTTTGTCTGGGGTGTGCGCTGACCTTGAGAAGTGTTTCAATTGCATCCCTCGCTTTCCGGCCTTGTGTCTGGCGGTTTTGGTTGGTACACCTGACTCTGTCACGACAGCTTGGGCAGGTGCTTTGGCTAGCATGTGCAGGCACTTCAAGGTTAGGGACTCCTACTCAGATGGATTTCTCACCTCAACTGGGTTGGCTGAAGGGTGTGGACTTTCAGTCTTTGGGATGCTCCTGGTTGATCACCTTTTTGCTGTTTGGATGAAAGTTCAGGCACCTTCCATCTGCTGTCTGACCTACGTTGATGATTGGCAGGCCATCACACGTGACCCCCAGTTTGCGGTGCGTCAGCTTGAACTTGTTGAATCCTTTGCGTCCATGATTGATCTCACGGTTGATCGGAAAAAGACCTTTGGTTGGTCCACTTGCCCAGAAGTGAGAAGAGCCCTTCGTGACCATGGAGTTAAGGTCTTACACCATGCCAGGGAACTTGGTGGGCATCTTGGGGTGTCACGACAGTACACCAACAGAACCCTCACTCAGCGCATTGCCGATCTTGATGATTTCTGGAGCAAACTTCGCTCCTGCCGAGCAGGATTCACTGCCAAGACGTTCATGTTGCGTGCTGTCGCTTGGCCGCGTGGCCTCCATGCTGTTGCCAGTGCCCCGGTTGGTGACCAGATTTGGGTTAACCTTCGCAGATGTGCCGTGAAAGCCCTTGGCATGCAGAAGCCTGGTGTCAACCCGTCTGTCCTCCTTGGTCTTGTCACCCCTGGGCTTGACCCTCAGCTTACTGCCGTTCTTTGGACTTTTCGGTCACTCCGTGTGCATTGTCCAGTGGACTTTTGGCTCTCCTCTGTCTCGCCTGTGGCTCATGGGGACTTGGACTTACCCCCTAACTCCCTGGCCTCTCGCTTGGCAAGGATGACCAAGCCATGTACCGTCTTGGACTTGCTGGTGGATTGTTCACTGATCGGTACAAATCGAAATGGACCCAACAATCTGAAGCGTGCCGGTGGTGTGGTGCTGTTGACACTTTGTTTCATCGGTATTGGGAATGCCCACAACACCATGATTTACGACTGTCTCTGGCACCCGATCTCCCCGCCATTGTGGATTCCATTCCTGCAGCTTTGACGTTGCGTGGTTGGGCCCTGCTCCCACCTACTTGGACTTCATGGATGCAGCTGCTTGCTGCTCTTCCTGTGGACTTGCCCCCATTGGCTGCTCCCTTGCGTTCTGGTGAATGGAATGATGTGTTCACCGATGGGTCCTGCCTTGCGTCCTCGTGTCCGTTGGTTCGCTGTGCTGCTTGGTCCGTGACTTTGGCTGCTCCTTTCCATGCTGGTTGGACTCCTGGTCAAGCCAAGGTTCTGTGTGCCTCGTTCCTTCCTGGCCTGGTTCAAACTGCCTACCGTGCTGAATTGTTTGCTGTTGCTTACACTTTGCATTGGGCTGCCTTGCTTCGAGCACCAGTCAGGATTTGGACAGACTGTTTGGGGGTCATCACCAGATTTAATCTGTTGATTTGGGGCTGCCATCGTTTGAATGTGAACAGAAGCAACAGTGACTTGTGGCAATGGATTCTCAATTCTGTGGCCGTACTTGGAAGAGAACGTGTTTCACTTTGCAAAGTCAAGGCGCATTGCACTCTGCATAGTGCTACGTCGCTTCGGGCCGCATGGAAAATTTTCTACAACGACTATGCTGACAGGGCAGCGCGCCTTGCGAATCAGGCGCGGCCAGCTGAGTTTTGGCGCGTGTGGGATCAACATGCGAGAGCGGTTGAATCTGCAGCACACATCTACAGTCAGGTGAGCAGACTTCACATTGCTGTGGGACGTCGACATGTCCGCCATGGTGACCCCGAGCCAGCCGAAGCTCCCCCTTCGGTGCGGGAGACCAGACAGTTTGCAGTGCAGTTTGAGCGTGGGAGGTGGACCGGTAACCTGCTGCCAAAGTTAGCCAGGCTCTACGGTACCGCTATTTCACAGAAGGCCATCCGATGGTTTTTGGCACGCATCGTTGAACAAGAAGGAGTCTCTCCAGTGTGGGTTTCCTACACTCAACTGTATCTCGATTTTCAATTGACATGGGGGCACCCTGGACCACTTCGAGTCCATCAACAGTGGGTTGACACTGACCAACGACCATACCTGGCGGCAGAATCTTTTCATTTCCGCCAACGGGTAAAGTGGTTCAAGCAGTTCCTCAAGGCCATGTTCAAAGAAGCTGACATCAAAGCTGCAATTGCGCAGTGTAGGCCGCAGTCTGGTATCATTCAGGCATTCGTGCCGTCAGTTTCTGTTCCTTGGGATCCTCAGTCGCTGTTGGAAGTTGAGCGCTGGCTCGCGACACAGGTTACAACACCCTGTGTACGTGATGCGGCTATTTTGTATCACCTGCCCCTGGCGATGCGGTGTGATCGCATGCAGGTGTAGGGTTTGGACGTCTCAGGTAGGCATACCTCGCTCTGAAACCCGAGCAGGTATTGGGACCAAAAGTCTGGCAAAAGTCTGGTGGTTTGGAACATTTTTTTGTCCATGTTGGGAATAACAATCCCAACTGACTTTCACTCCATGATTTTTCAGATGGGGTAGGTATACCACCAACCAGCATCCAGCATGGCAACCAATATTTTTTTGGAACCTGTGATGATTTTTACCACGGGATTTTTGGGTACCCTCCCCATGGAACCACGGTGACTGGGTGACCCTTCGAGACGGGACCTGGTGAGACCTAGTCTTCATGACGGTAAAAGAGCACACCACTAAGTGGAGATACAGATAACTAGGGATATTTCATTCATCTTACCAAGTGGTTTAGAGAACCAGTCATTAATCTAACTAGGGATACTCTTCATACACACATATATATATATAATATCTATACACACATATATAAACAAGAAATCTTTCATACCCTTTGGTAATTTAACATAGCTATTGAAAATGACCATAAAAATAATGGATTTTCCCATTGATAGCATGGTGGATCTTTCCATCGTTTTTTGTATGTTTACCAGAGGGTAAATCTCACTGGCTTCTATGCTTCCCACTTTGGATCCCTGGCATGGCTACAGGCCACTGGAAGCGCCGTTCTGGCGGCCAAGCACATGCTTGAGGTGCCGCAAGCGCTGTGAGCATCAAGAAAGCAGAAAAAATATCTTATAATGATTTTCATATGGTTTCATATGGTTTAATGGTTTTTAAATCATCTGGATTATGATTACTGTAATCATTCTGAATTGTTTTTTTTTAAATGATTTATGATTATAATATGTTATAAAAACAGTTATATCTACATAAGTTACTTCATTCAGAAAGGTGACTTGTTAAACGTTCAATGTGTTGCTGTAAATCATGTAGATCAATGGGGATTTTGCGCAAAATAATGGGTCATTCACCTAAAAATCAATGGGGATCAATCCAATGTAGAACTAGGGTAACATCAAGAAACATGTTGATGAGATCAAAAGAAATGTGGATGAAGTGAGATGTTTATGCAGATTAAACCAATGTGAGATAGGACTTCGGTTTCCGGCGGAAAGGCAATTGTACGATGCAACCCAAAAGAATTCATACCCTCTGGTTATGGACTTTAATGATTTTCTGGTGATTTTTAGAGGAATTGAACACACAAAAACAGGGATATTCATGGGAAATACCATCTGGTTATCTAACATAGCTATGGACAATTACCCATTTATAGATGCTAAAAATGATGATTTGCCCATTAAAGAATGGTGATTTTCCAGTTCGCAAGCTTTTTCAGTACCAGGGGGTAAGATCCAGCTCTGCCGGTTCGATAATATTTTCCCAAACATGTCATGGTTGGATTCCAAGGATCCCCGATCCGTGGTGTTTTTTTTGTTGTGCAGATAGTGGGAGGGGAAAGCAACAGGGATGGTTCCCATGAAGTAGTGAATATACATGAATATATTCTCATTCTACATGGCTTATCCCATCTATAAATGGGTTATATGTAACTAATTATATGGCTATTGCTATAACCACTTATGAAGTGGGGTGATCCTTTCCATGGGCAGTTCTAGGTGGGTATCATTGGATGGTTCAGAACCGGTTATCCTCCGTAAAACCTCCCGGTTATTATTTGAGAGATATATTCCCATGACATAGGACCCATAGAAACAGATGATGTTCCCAGCTACAAACATTCATTTATAGGGATGTGTCCCCAATATTTTTCGAAACATGTCCATATCGAGGTTTCTTAAGTCATAGGGCTACCCCTGTATAAATCATCCATTTTACGACGATTTTTTTCAAACAAAAACCATCTATGGAACCGTGACGGAGGCCACCAAACTCATGCACATGGCCAAAGAAAAGAAGGTGACGTTTCGGGAGGTTTTGGATGGGGAATTCGTTGAAGGAGGGGTTCTACAAAGTGGGGCCCCCCGAACGATAGCTAAGTTGGTGCACATAACTCCAATGTCACTATGGTTTATGGTACCTATAACTATAGTATTCATGGGGTTTATAAACCAACTTATAACTGGGGGGGCCCACATTGCATGGTGTGGTTCCCAGTCCCAGTCATGGGTGGTTTATGATTGTTTTAACCACATTGTCCCAGATGTAGTTGTTGAGTTTCTATCCAAAATACACATTTTGCCAACACAATATGTGCGAACATTTGGATTTGAAGGGGTAAAACGATGTGTTGACGTGGAGTGTGGTGTTGATGTGACAAAATCAATGCCACAAACCTACCATTTGGGGATGGTGGGAATATTCAGGCCTTTTGATGTTTCGGTTTATCACATCTCCTTTGCTAAATATTTGACTCAACTCAATCTTGCTTACAGATTGGCAATGGATGGTTTATCAAACTACCAATGGCAGATGGCCATGATCATTCCTAAGTTGATACTTCTACCCAATTTGAATATTACATTGAAACTTGATTACACAGGATTGAGACCGGCTTCAGAGGTATAAATGTAATGTATTGACAATCGTCATGGGTATCAATCTCAATTTTAATTCAGAGATATCGTCGTCTGGTATTTTCACAATTTGCTTTGGAAAGTCACCATTTCTACTAGGTGAACCATACACATTGATTCATGATTTATTTTCCATAGCTATTTGAAATTCAAGGAGGGGAGTTGTAGTATAGTAAATCCCAACAAAGACAGAACCAACTTTGTTTATCACTACTTGAGGATTAGAATTTGCTTGAATACATCCTGTGTTATTTTTTGTGCCATGGTCAACACATGGGCCATCGTACCCCCTAAGGGAAGGGATGATGTTTCGAAAGTCTTGGGGCATGGTCATCATCCCATGAAACGGGATCTATATACCCATTATATCAATGGCCATTTCAGGATCCTAGATTGGAGGTACCTACCATATATATATAAGGCCTATTTTTCAGGCCTAAATTTTAGGGAATATCCCCACAAAATATGGCCAGAAATATGGTACTAACGTACCTCTATTTTAGGATCCTGGAGATCTCCCATTGATTATGGCTGGATTCCCATTGTTATATAGATGGATGACTATAAACCACATATCATATCAAGTTTGATAAATTATTCCCATTATGGTTGGTCAAATTCCTGTAATTTACCATTATATCATCATTATGGCTGGTAAAATTCAATGTAACTTGACCACGGCACATTGGATACCACTTTGTTAGTTATATTCCATGAAATAGGCATCATATTCCCATGATATGTCCATTAAAGTGTGTTCAATCAGCATTTTGGTTGCTTTAATCCCAATCCCAATCCATCACACACCCAGTACACACCCAGTACACACCCATTATATACCCATTATGTACCCATCATGTATTATATTCACATCCATTATCTCCGAATTCGACCATATGTCAGTGGATTGGTTTAATAAAGGGAACATTTGTAGGAAAACCCCATATTTCATAGGAACAACAATGGTTTCCTGTAGATTTTCCCTTAAAGCAATCCAATGAATATGAATCTTTGAGCCACTGCACCTTTTTAAAACCGACCGCTCGTTTCTCAAATTGTGCCAGGTGCGTGCACTGAAGGTCAGGGCACTGGCCGAACGGCTGAACAGCCAGGTGCTGCCTAGCTATAAACAGGTGCCGCACAGCCCGCACAGCCACGGCATGGGACGGTGGGATCAAAGTCCTGGAGTACCCCCAAATCATCGATGACCATGACTTAGTATTGAAACTCATCGCGACGACTGGGGATTCCCTATTTTAAGAAACTTCCGTACTCTGGGGAGAAACGATGTTGATATACAACCACACACATATGTATATATATATATGTATACATATGCGCTGATGATATGCCAGAAAAAATGAAGCAAAGAAACTAAAGTGTCCAAATGTGGGATTCTTTTAATGCTTCGTGGTTTTTGGTTTTTCAGTTCACCCGTGGTGATATGAACCTGGATCGAACTGGGATTTGGCAGCATCTATGTCAAGTCACCCCAAATTGCCATCTGGTTATGACATTCACAGTTCGCCATGGAAAGACCCACCATTTGTAGTAGGTAAACCCAGGTAAACCATCTATTTCGATTAGGGCCATCGAAATCCCATGGCTATGTTAGTCATAATCAGAGGGTAGATAAAACCAATTGGAAAGCAACAAATTGTGGTTGGAAAATATCATCTATAGCCTTCTGAAAGGGAAAATTATGATCTGAACATCATCTATAGTAGACACCTGGAAGATCTAAATTCTGTCTGCCCGTCCTCGATGTCCAGGATTCTCCCATATGAAAAAAACGTGACAGGACATCCAGTCATCCACTGAGAAAAACCAGCTTTACCAGCTTCCACAGATGTTGGTTTTGTCTCATTTGAAGGTGGGATTTTCCAGCATTGGAAGTCCCCCCTTTTTAAATTTGATGATTGGTGTCTGGAGATCCAAGAGTTATCTCGTGAAGTTTCGTGAGTGAACATTGGTCTGGGTAAATTTAATCACGACCTCACTGCGACCGAGCCCTGGAATCATGGCTAATAAGGGACATCCTCCCCAAATGGCCTTAATTAATTCAAATCAGTGAATTATTATAATTTACCCAGATTGGTGATAAAACCCCCAGAAATGTCGCTGGAAATGTGCACCAACTCTTGGGGGTTTCATTGTGGAAAAGTCACCGGACATAGAAGTCGATCATTTTCCCAAGGAGATGTGGGTTTTCCACATCTTTGTGTATGTTTACCCGTTTGGGCACATCAAATGATGGACTAAGTACTTAAAAAAAGATTACGAAGTACATTTTTAAGTACATTATGAAGTACACTATTCACCATTCTTAACGATTATCAACCCTGGAGCCTTGTTAATCATCTCTCGGTGTCTCTCGAGGCAGTGGATATAGCTGGGCTGCATGCGTCCTTTAGTGGCCTACAGACGTCACAGCATCTTGGCGCCGGCAAAGGACTCTGTGGAAAACCTACGTGGATTCCCGGCCCCACGGATGGGGGGTTTCGTAAAAGATAGCGTTCAGTTGCCGGACATCAGTGGCTGAATTCTATGGTTTATGGTATATATAACTATCGATAACTATGGTTTTCATGGGCTTTGTAAACCAACGTTCCAATAACTATGGTTTATGGTAGATATATCTATAGCTGGTTGGTGCTTTGGAACATTTTCTATTTTCCACAATAGATGGGATGTCATCCTTCCCATTGACGAACTCATATTTTTCAAGGTGGTTATTGCACCACCAACCAGTAGATATATCATGATATATCTATAGTTAATCTATGGTATCTATACCAATTAACTATGGTTTTAATAAACCCCATTAATTAACTGTAGATATATCATATATATATATATCATATATATATATATATCATATATATATATCTATGGTTTATGGTAGATATATCTACAGTTAATTCATGGGGTTTATAAACCAACGTTCCATCCCATCATGGGATTTCCAGCATCCTGGAGGAAAAAGATCTGTTGTGTGTGTCCTTTTGGTGAATCCTCGGTAAATGCTGGACATTAATGGTGAATATCCATTAAGGATGGGTTAATCATGGGTAAATATCCAATAATTAATGGCCAATATATTATTGTTAATATGGCCAATAATATCCAATAATCATGGTAATAGTATTTTTTCACATCTGATATGGTTTTCATGGTCACTGTGTTTTTTGTGAATATCCATGAACGATATGGTTTATACGAGTGGTTAATCATTGATCATTGATCATCCCATCCCTCTCGGAACCCTTATTCAGATCAGCCATTCTTGGCAGACTTGGCCCATGGAAAATTGGACCTGGAACCAGAACCCTGTGAGCAATTGAGGAAGTGGAAGATGTTCACAGGCAAAACCGCCAATTGGCTATGATAATCACCATGTTTACTAGGTAGACCATTGTTGAGTTGCTTAGCGGTTGGGTACGGAGGACAAAGACGCGCTTTGACCAAACCATTTTGGTCCAGATTGCATCAAGCGTTTTTCACCAAGACCCAAAAGAGCAAAACACTTCTTTCAAAATTATTGCCATGTTCACCGAGGTTTCGGAATTTCATCAGGTTTTCACCAGGTTTCAGAAAATCCCTGAGGTCGAGAAAAATGCCCGAACTTCACCTAAACATTCACCAGGTCTTGGACATTTTTACCAGGTTTTAACCAAGTTTCTAAATTTCACCAGGTTTTCACCAGGTTTTGGAAATTTCAGATTTTTTTGACCAACTTTCGAAATTTCACCAGGTTTTCACCAGGTTTTGGAAATTTCGCCAGATTTTCACCAGGTTTCGGAAATTTCAGCTTTTTTTGACCAACTTTCGAAATTTCACCAGGTTTTCACCAGGTTTTCACCAGGTTTATGTTTTGCCTTCAATTTCACCGCCAAAACGGATAAATTTCACCCAAAAAACTGAAAAAACCCTTAGTTTGGTGAAATTTCAAGGTGTAAAACGCTTCTTCAATTAATTTCACCAGGTTTTTGCCGTTTTTTCCCTTTCATGTGATTGCGAAAAACGGAAGAAGTATTTTGTCGGTTCTCCGGAAAGCACAAAACGCTTCTGTGGAACCAAATATTGGTTGATCCCTGGAAAGCTCTCCGCAAGCAACTTAACATAGACCATCTATAAATGGCTCATTTTCATCTATTTTCCATAGCTATGGAAGATATGAAGAGATATCAATTGCCATTAACTGATAGTGGGATAGTATACACTTTCTGCACTGATATTGACTAATATTCACTGAACAACTGAGAGAGGGATGGTTCAATCCGTCACCAGCCAGCGCCAGTTCAGTCCGTTTTACCATAGCCAGTTCAGGAGGTTTCCGAAGTCATGTGGGTACCACCAAATCATCCAAGCCCTTAGACCATGACTATGGTGACTTGGGTGCCATTTTAAGAAAGTGCTACCCTCTGGTTATTTAACATAGCCATGGAAAATGGACCATTTATAGATGGTTTACCTATTAAAACTGGTGATTTTCCATGGCTATGTTAAATAACCAGATGGTATACTTTTGGTGAGACGCACTACTATTTCAGAGGTCCATCGTGGTGACTTGAACACCAGACTACCTATGAGGATCCTGCGATGTGACTTTTTGGCGGCCTCCAGAGGACCCTGAAAAATCATGATCAATATGGATAACATCATGTAAAGATATGTAAAGTTTGTTCAACCCAGCTTTTGGATTTGCTGTAAATTAAATAATTATCCATATATATATATATACATACATACATACATAATACATTTACATATACAGATACAGATACATATGCATATAATCATATACATATCTGATATATACTGTATACTATGAACATGCCATCAAGCCACAGCAAATATTAGCGTCATTTTCGTCATGGTCCATACTCCCAGCTGGGGATGATTGGTTCCATCAGTCCCATCCCCAGTTTTTTGAGGACTTTGGCGGTCAAATTTGGGTAATTACTAAAATGAGTTGAAATATATCCAAAGATGACCAAACTGAGCTATGATTTTCCGAAAAGTTCCCCATTCCATTTTTCTCGTATGCCACTTAGCTGTGGCATCCACTGCGTTTTTTTCGATGGGCCGAGGCAGAGGCACCGGCTTCTTCGTAAGAAGACCTGAGTTTTTCTCGGTGACGAGTCACGAGTCGCGCAGGAATTCTGTGGTGCAAAACGTACCTTGTGGGGATTGGACTTCCTTAAGCCACAATGTGAGGCCCCCAAGATAGCGTTCAGTTGGTGCACATAACTCCAATGTCACTATGGTTTATGGTACTTATAACGAACTAGTTCATTGTGATCGAAAGTCGAAAGCTGCAAACATATGGGAGTTTCATCGACGGATTCAACTTCTTTTTGGGATTTTAGAGGCAAAAAGGAGGGTGTAAGCTAACAAAAACGAGAGGTCAAAGTGGTCAAAGCGACCAAGATGGGGATTTGATTGAATCAAGAGATGCTGGGGACATAAGGAGGTTCAACTGACCATGACCGGGGGGATTTTTTCGACGCCCATCGGGTCTGTCTCAATTCCTTTGGGATTTATAGGACCCCCATGAACCCACCCCAAAACATAGAAAACATATGCACCTCGATTTTCATGGGATTTTACTTTTCTACTTTTTTTTTTTGAGGGGGGTTCTATAACCAGCCAATAGAACCCCTCCTCCAAAAAAATGGGGATTTTGACTTAAAACCTATCAAGATGAGGAATTTACCAACAAGCTTCGGATTTTAAAAAGTGATCTTAGCAAAATTAAGGATGTGCTGGCGTGCCCCCACGGTTTAAGCCATTCTTAATATGGAAAACTATGATCTCTTTTCTCTCTCTCTCTATATTAAATTTATATACACACTGTATATGAATGGTATATGTACTGAACTCTAGTTCTGGGTAGCCAAATCTAATTCTGAGGAGCTTCCCTTTATCCCGGTATATATACATTTATATGCTTCGGCAGAGATTGACACCTCCCAAATATGATAGGGAATATTTTGAGGATGATCATGGTCCAATGATGGAACTAGGCCCATTCACCAACCATTTTGGAAAAAAATCGGGGATTTTTCAAAGAGGTTCTTTGAATCCTGTTTTGGGGATTTGTTTCACATCACTTGAACAGCCGTATCTGTTGGAGATAAAAAATCCCCAGCTCAGTTGGGTGATGTGAAATTTACCCTCTGGTTATGTCAACAGTTTGCTATTGAAAATGGCCATAGAAATAGTGAGTCTTCCCATTAAAAATTGTGATTTTCCATAGGTTTTTGTATGTTTACCAGAGGGTACCAAGCCCTGTTTTTGGGACAATGATTTTCCCAAGTCACCTGCTAAATCCCAGCAAGGTTGAGAGACCCCCAATAGCTGGTTGATTTCATGGAAAATGCCACCAAAAAATGGATGATAATTTGGGGTAGCCCCATAACTTAGGACACCTCCATATTATTCATTTATTGGGTTTTGAATGGACACCTCATATTATTGGGTTTATTGAAACCTCTATATTACTGACTTAGGAAACCTCATTAATCGCACAAAAATTGGGTGTTCTCCGCGACATTTCAGGGGTAGGCCACCTTGATGCCTTGGATGATGGGTGAAGCAATGGTTGATGTCTACCTTTTAGACGCAGACATGGCTTCTTACGGACCAAACCAACCAATCTAGGTTTTTAGCCACATGTATATATATATATACGCATATATATATATATATAGAGGTTTGGCATGGTTTGGCAACAACATCAAGTATGTCGCAAACTCCACGTCGACAGTCAGACAGAAACGTACTCAATCTTCACCACTAACAGCTATAGCTGGATACCAATGATGGTCAATCATCATGGATTCCCTATGACAAAAACGCCATTGGAGGGCCAGTTTGGGGGGTAACCCTCTGGTAAACTTACAAAAAACGATGGAAAATCACCATTTTTTATGGGTATATCCACTATTTCTATGGCCATGTTCAATAGTTATGTTAGTTTACCAGAGGGTAACCCCTCCATTTCAGTATCACCCATCCACATCATCACGTCGACTGAAATGACGTGAAAGATTCGATAAAACTTCGCACACGACGCGCCATGGCAGCTGAAATGGAGTTTGGACTACAGGAGGCACAGCGACGAAATATGGTGGTTTTACCCGGAAAAACAGATACCCTCTGGTAATTTAACATAACATGGAAAATCACCATGTTTAATGGGAAAATCAACTATAAATCACCATTTTCAATAGCTTTTTGTATGTTTACCAGAGGGTATCGCAATAAAAACTACAGGGTTAGCAGATACCCTCTGGTAATTTCACACTTGGCGAACATGGCGAAGTCACCATGTTCTTCGCTGGGAAAATGGTCACCATTTCCACAACGGGCCAACGGCCATGGATGATTTGGATCCAACCCTCTGGTAAACGTTTACACAAAACTGATGGGAAAATCACCATGCTATTAATGGGAAAAGTCACGAAATAAATGATCATTTTCAATAGCTATTTTGACATAACCAGAGGGTACCCAATAATGACCTCACTGAGTGGTTGGTTACAGATTGGTTTTATTGGCTAAAAACCATAGAAATTCCAGAGTAGAGTCGAAGCAAAAACATCGGATAGCTGCAAACATGGAAGTTTCACCATCAAGAAAGAGGACCGGACGCCAACTCATATTGGTTTTACTTTCAACCAACAAAAAATTACTTTACTTCGTGTGATCCCCACCATGACATTTATACATGTTCTTACTGGCACATCTTCTGGCATTCTATCTGACATATCTTCTGACATTCTATTTGGCATTCTATCTGACATATCTTCTGACATTCTATTTGGCATTCTATCTGGCATATTTCTGGCATATCTTCTGGCATTCTATCTGGCAAATCTTCTGGCATTCTATCTGGCATATCTTCTGGCATTCTATCTGGCATATCTTCTGGCATTCTATCTGACATATCTTCTGACATTCTATTTGGCATTCTATCTGGCATATCTTCTGGGATATCTTCTGGCATATCTATCTGGCATATCTTCTGGCATTCTATCTGGCAAATCTTGTGGCACTCTATCTGACATTTTATCTTCCTACATGAGGTTCGGCAGGGAACACTTGGCATGGATACTCGCGGTTGAGGTCCGGCAGGGAACACTGCATGGGCGTGGATGGTCGTGGTTGAGGTCCGGCAGGGAACACTGGGCGTGGATGGTCGTGGTTGAGGTCCGGCAGGGAACACTGGGCGTGGATGGTCGTGGTTGAGGTCCGACAGAGAACACTGTGGATCGCGAGTCGCAGTTGAGCAGGAGGACGAGGAGGACAACGAGAGGAGGAGGACAACGAGAGGAGGAGGAGAGGAGAGGAGGAGGAGGAGGACGAGGAGGAGGAGGACCAGGCAACTGACATAAAATCTAACAACCCTCACCTGGCAGGTGGGGAAAAACTGATTTCACCAACAAAGATCGCACTTTAATCAACAAGAAATAGGGGATGTAACCAGTAAACATCAGAATTTTGAAAAAAAATCACCAATGTGGATTTCATGCAAAATCCAGATCCCAGTAAGAATTTCCATGGGGCCTGTTACAACGTTTCTGATGTGTCACGAAGTCAACCAGAGGTGAGGTGTACCATCTGGATCCATCTGGTCAACGAAACAGACAAAACACGAACTGGAAAGTGCCCATTTTTAATAGGTAAATCATGGTAAATCATGGTAAATTATCTATATCTATAAATGGCCGTTTTCAATAGCAAACTGTAACAGCCATTGCCAGAGGCCGGATTTCAGCCATCTCCCAACGGGTTTCCTCCTTGGTCTCGCCATAAAAGTAACCTCAAGCAACCTCAACTGCAACAAGATGTGGCAACTGCAGAGTTGCTACCGCAAGGATTGGCCCTTGGATTGGCCGAATCCATAGTATTTGGCCAGTGGGCCAGTGGGATTACTTGGATCATCACGGATCATCCCATTTATTTCATCAAGAATTTGTAGCCGAAGTGATCCTCCATGGGATTGGGTCCAATCTTATTTTCGCAGATCGGAAGTGTTGGCTGAATCGGCCCAAAGGGTTGGGGATAGCTACTGACCACCTGATATTATCTGATGATATTGGAGGCTTTTTGGCAGTCTTTGGCAAAGGAATTTCTTGGTTTTCAAACACTTCATTGTGAGGTTATTGGTCCCGGACTTTTCTTTGTTCCAAAGGTGACCACCTGAATGGTTTGAACAACAAGAAACCATCAATCATAAATCATAATAACAATGCCCTCCAGTATCATCAAACGTGTCTGGGGAAAACAACTTATTGTCCAGGATTTTGGTGAATTGGATGGGGATTGTTATGCAGGAAAAATACACCAACAACCCCAAAAAGTCCAAAATAATAAAAAAAAACGAAAAACCACACAATAGTCCCAAAAAATCACCCAAAAAATCTCATCCCCGAAGAAATCCCCAAAGTCTTCGGTGTTTGCGGACCCGGGTAGACTTCATGAGGGTTCAACCTTCATTACGACATCCTTCAAGCACCATGAAACCACCACAAAAATCAACATCCACCATGCTTCGTTTCCTGCGCTTCGCAGGTGGAAATGTTGGCGTGGATAGCTCATCTGCGGTATTTGAACCGACTGTGTTACTTTTTCCCGCGCGGCGCAAACCGGGCGAGCTTTGGGGGCAAACGAGGAAAAGGATGAGGGATTTTAGTATAACCCATGAACTAATCATCAACCACCCGGCGCTTTGAACACTGCTCAGGTGTATATGGGATGCGAATACCATGAATCAAAACGCAGGCAAGGCCTGTGAAATAAGTAGATGGATTTATTTTGAACTTAGGACGCATCATAAATTCCACATGGAACCAATACTATTGTACCAGCGGTTCCAACAAACACTGAAGCCTATGTCTTGGGTCATGCACATACCCCATTCGCACAGTCGTCAACATCCTGGGTTGCTAGGCGACAAATTGTTGCTGAATTTCATTACTCCAGTGGTAGAATATCGTATATAACCAATATTATTGGCTAAATTATTGGAGATATCTCACAGATTTTTTGTGTGCTTGGAATATGTGGTTCTTGGGGGGCAGCCCTGACCCCTCCCCTGGCACAAAAAAAGCGCTCGAACCTCCGGAATTGACTTTTGCATGGGGCTATTCGATGAGGTGGTACCCCGT